TTTTTTTTTTTTTTGTGTGTGCGTGTGTGTGTAAATTCTTCCACACAGTCGAACGGCCTCTCTTGACCTTTTTCAGGATCCATACTTCCACAACGTGTACTTTCCCCACCCGCGGATTTTCAATTAACTTCGCTTTGGAAGTAATTTGAGTGGATATCATGCCTCCGATCGGGCCGGAGAAGCGGGCAGCGCTTTGCCGGGTTTGGGCTCTGGCTCTGGCGCTGCTGGTGTGCGTTGCTTCGGTGACTGGATGCCCACACAAGTGCAGCTGCTCCGGGTCGCATGTGGACTGCCAGGGTCTGGGCTTGAAGACTGTGCCTAAAGGAATACCGAGGAACGCCGAGCGCCTGTAAGTCCAATGAAACGACAGTTTAAGCAACTCTTGTTGTCCTGTCATCATCTGCCTTAAATATCACCACAGTGTGCCCTGTGATCTTCTACTGCGCTTTACTCCCTCAAATGAAACTACAATATGCGTGCAGCATGCTGCAAATATAACTCTTATAACGCCATGTAGGTATGTTCTGTATGTTATCGCAGGGTTGAGTTATTACAGGTGATGGAGAGATTTTGATTGGACATTTCAAACTATACGCTTTACTTTTGAGACATCTCACTGGAAAATAAAATGAGAAAGCCGACCTGTTCAGTATTGAATCATATTGGTGCTGTTTTCTTAAAGTGAAAAGAAAAAGTTGCATCCTGCTACTGTGTGATCAAACTGAAATGCATTTCAACCCTCACCTGCAGTCAGTAATAATTAAGGCAAACAATCAATTTTATGTTGGGAGCAACATCCATTAATGGTTTTCTGTTGAATTAAAGGATTGTCCTGTTGGTTCACTTATATCAGCTCATACAGCTGAGGAACTTTTGTCATTTATTTATTATTTAACTGGGCTAAACGTTTCTATAAAAGTTGATAAAGGGAATTTAGTTGGGTTGTTGGCTTTTTAAACCTTACGGCATTTAATCTCAATAAGACTGATAAATGGGAATACCTTTATACTTCTGCAAAACTAGGGGTAGTTTCCTGGGAAGAGTTACAAGTACCTCCTGGCTGACACCACACTGCAGCCACTTTGGTTATACACATGAAACTGCTCTAAAATTCACCAGTGACCCCAGTGAATGGAGGCAGTAAAGAAAACAGTCCTGAGGCAGCTTTTAGAGTTCGTATTAAGTTTTTAAACAGGTCAAAACGAAAGGTGAGAAGAAGCAGTGAGCTCCTTAAATCTTTTTATATTTTTCCAAACTCCCTTTCCGTGTAAGACTTTCCTTATTCCTCAGTGATTTGTGTTCAATCCTAAACAATGATTTTACTCTTGAAGAATAACTTTCAGCTGTTTTTTTTTTGTCAAACCTGGTGACAGTTAGTTTCAAATGATATTCATTCCTAAGGCAGAGACGGACCTCTGACAGACGCTGCTGCCACCTCTAGCCTGGTCTTGACACGTATACATCCCCGCAGCCACACACATGCACTCCCACAGACCCACACCTATGCTGTTAAGGTATGGAAGCGATTACGCTTGATAACGGAGCAGCCAAAAGCTCCGCAGGGGATCAACAACAGACCTAACCCTGAGACAACAAACACAATCAGTAGGCTGCAGAGAGAGATGGGGGGCCTTGTTTGTGGATGTGTGTGTGTGTGGGGGGGGGGCACTGGTGGCTATAAGCATATGATTAGCATATGTGCGAGCATTTTTACTTTTACGTGAGTGCGTTTACATGATTGTGTGTATTTGTGTCTGCATGTTGGCGCTGGCTGGTGTGATTGTGTTGCTTGCGTGCGTATATATGTGTGAGTGTGAACGACGAACCCCATACCTCCTCCATCCCACAGGGCTGTTGTGACCTCCCAGGACCTGTTGGCTTTTACACAGCAATCCCCCGAAGACATTTACACCCTAGGAAAATAAATAATTAGAGCAGGCTGTGATGGGGAGGTGGGATAAGGGGGTCCCCTGCCTCTCGCTGGGGTCCCCAGGGTGGAATATTTGGGGTAGCAGCGCCCCCTCCTTCCTCTTTCACTCC